CATTCGGCAACGTCAACTGCAGTGGCTGAGGCATGCTATGCACACCTAAAAACAGTCCATCGAGACGAGTGTTGTTCAGCGTGTCTTTTTCAGAATGGCACGAGATGAGAGGTGGACAACATGCGGCTTGGAAGAAGTGTGTAAGAGACTACGAAGAGTTTGGGTGTTGTTGGTGCGGACCACTTTCCATGATGACCGTTCCCCTGGCCACCCTTGCGCTTGGTTAGAAACAGTGCAAGAAATGACGGCCGATCGTAGTCAGTTTCCTTCCGGACTATGTGAGTGAGCGCTTGGAGGTGTAGGCGGCTCAGCATGTTTGTAACAGGCTAGCACCATACCCCGCCCTTGCCAACCTTTTTATCTTCTTTTCAGTTTCGGGCTTAGAATATGATAAAATGAGCCTTGTGGTTGTACCATAGAAAAGCATTTATCAACACTGATGTTGCTGCGATGATGGTTGCGCTTTTAAAGAACGAATCACATCTTTAGCTGTTTGGAATTGGATGGACTGGACGTGGCACAATAGGAGCCGACACATCTAGTGTACGAAAGGCACCTCTCACTAGATCCATGACTGGCGTCTTTTCTGGACTGTCCTAAGAGGATGTCTTGCTATTACCTTCATTCGACGGTACCAAATAAATTAGTTGCGGCACACAGACTGACGGAAGAGGCGAGATGGCCCAAGTGGTTAGGGCGCGAATTCACTGCCCGGAAGGTCCGTGGTTCGAATCCGACCTCAGCCACTCGACTTCCCCTGTCTAGGCTTGGGCAACCTGGTAGTATCCCAGCCCTCGTGCTTCCTTCGAGTGGCATGGCAGCTAGGCACCGGAAGGGTACTACAGTTGAACGCACGCCCACATTACGAGGAACCTGTTCACGCGCTTCGGTTTTTACCTAGTTTATAATTCCGCTCATCGTACAGAACTAAGAAAACGCTACATGAGTTTTTCGACTTGGAGCAAACCAATCGATTACTAAGGGAATGAATTGCACTTTTTAATTAGGACAATTGGATTTTGAACTTCCTGTTTAGGTACACTCTCAAGACCACTAACGCTTCTGAAGAGCGATATACTAACACGCATCCCACAGGGTGGTTTGAGGAGTTTGCTCTGGATCAGAGAGAGAAAATGAGTGTCCGAAGCGAGTTGTATAGAACATATGGCTGGACCACTTCTTATGGAAGAACATACGTGTCTACCGCGATATTGCTCCGTAACATAACGATATCTTCAACGTTGAGGCGACCTACTTCGAACAAGTGAGTAGAAAAAAGATCAATGGAGTTCAAAGCGAAAAAGGGCCACAGTTTGCCACCAAATCCTTGGCAACTTTTCGGAAGAATGTGCCTGTCCCCATAAAAGAGTATGAAATAGTGAGATGATCAAGCAAATTTGACCAAAGGCTAAAACACATCTTATTGGTGCAGGTCATTTAGCTGACTCGGGACGCGCTAACCAGATTGTACTCGGGCCAGCGGAATGAGGCTGTTGAGATTTTCTTCATTGATGACCGGTTTTACAAAACTGCTATGCGGGTACAAGAACGGCCAAAACGGCTACCCAATCTACTACGCGGTCGCCCTATGTCCTCTCAAAGATAATCTAAATCTTCATTCTGAGCTCAAGCACCTTTTCCTAGGTTATCAGATTCATATTTCTCGAATTGTGGGTCCGATTCTCAAAACGGAAAGCAAATTCTTGCTATTACGTGGCATCGTCACTGTATACCTTTGAGATTCGTCCAGAAGCAGGTCCCCAGTCTCTGAATATGCCAACTACTCCCAAAAAGGCGTACAAATTCATGTCTTTCAAAAGATGAGCAAGAGCAGAAGCGGATGTACCAGTGAGAACTGTAATTATTACATGGCTGCGGTCACACAATTGCGAATACATACATCGTTTACGAAAAAAGGCAAAAAAAAACTACTCAGCAAACGGGTTGGCATGAATCGTCACGTCTTGAATGTGGATATCAGTTAGTGGTCGGTAGGTTTTTTCCTCCACAGGGGCACGCTCCAGTTCATCCAGGACATTCCACCCATCGATAACTCTGAATATGAAATTCGGAGAATGACGAAATTGTAGGCATGCACATACACAGGTGAGCACGGCAGGTCGTAAACATTTCATGAACGAGCGAACTTGAGAAGGATCGACCATCTCCCAGTGAATTATAGTTTGGAGCAAATAAAGCGCATTCCGACCTTGTTGATGAATTTTCACAAAGATAAAAATACTCCGAAGTGTTCCATACAATTTAGCCCCCCTCCCCACCACCAACACGGAAAAGCGGAAACCCCAAAGAAGTGAACTAAATGGCCCGGTCCAATGTGAGAGATAAAACATCCTAAAGATTTGGACTTTCATCTCCCGGGAGACTGGCTGTTCTGCGTATACTTTGCAAACGAGGAGTATCCTTACTGCCATGTATTTCCACATTCTGACAGTGACGATCTATCCAGAAAAATATCTTCCCACAACCAACTGGGTTCGCCATGGTCACCTCCTCTTTCCACTGGCACCATCATGAAATGTACACTCCGATCTGAGCCAATCCGAGTGTCGAAACCACATCTGGGAAAAGACTAGTAGACTTACTTCGACAAATACACTCATTTGCAAAACGATTTGGTTTTCACGGGAGACTCGAATGAATCTCTCGTTTATGGCATTCTTCAACTGCATGTGCTGCACAAATGCGCCTGATATTTCAGTTGGTAAGATCCAGCCGAGTAAATGACTGGATGAGCTATCCATCTATTGCTCTAGTTGTGCAGTGTATCATGTTGATCGTCTTGTTGTTAGGCTTGGTATCTGCTCTGTGCAGTGTAGCACGCTATTTTGCAGTAGTACCACTACGAAGCTGTCCCAGTGATTGGGCAGAAGTGAGCCATGTTGTGGTCACATGTTGAGCGTGATCGGCCGTATTAACAATGTTGGACCAAATAAATAATAAACAGTCATTCAGCTGTAGCGCCCTTTCGGTACCTAGCTGCTCGAAAAACAGCAACGTTCGAGGATTGTTTCTCAAATAAATAAAAACAGTCATTCAGCTGTAGCGCCCTTTCGGTACCTAGCTGCTCGAAAAACAGCAACGTTCGAGGATTGTTTCTTCTATTCGAGTGAGTGGAGTCGGTTCTCTGCGTTAAGAGCAAGTTATTCTTGTACCAGTGTCGCAGTTGTTGGCATTGAGGGAGATTGAAATTTTATCTGCATGGTTATGCTCACTGTCCCATCCACGAAAGAGTAATGCACAAAAAGTAGAAGGACCGAATGTGAGGAGATTGACTCGCAGGTGAGTATTACGCCAACCTTGTTATTGCATTTTCGCGCTGCCATACCCAGTTAAATGGACTAAGCTCCTACAGGGTGCCGAAATGGTGTTCGAATATTCTTTTTCTACCTAACACCACTTGCTCTGATTCCGTTTGAACGTGTTGCCGAAGACTATTTGGCCTTAAAAAGCATCATAGCTGCTATAAAGGAAACTGTTCACAAGGCTGCTGAAAACTCTTCGACAGCCCTGGACCGGTTTCGCTCTTCTCGGGGCTCATCAAGTAGACGCAGTCCCCGAGTTTCCGTCAACCTCATGTTCTACTTGAACCCAAATTGGATTGATTTCGACAAATATACTCATTTGCAAATCGATTCGGTTTTCACGAGAGACTCAAGTAAATCTCTAGTTTATGATCTTCAACTGAATGTGCTGCACACAGTACGACATTCGGGATATCGCAGTATGCTTCCATAGAGGAAACTACTCACAGCTGCTAATTTCGGCGTCCTCTCGTCTCACTGCATCCAGCCACTCTGTGACGGCATCTTAATACACATTAAATTTACAGGGTGTGGAGGCGTCAAACGAAAACTAACCCTCTGCTAACCGTTGGTTTGAATAAGTCATTCAGTTGCGTAATACCTGATAAGTCGCAAAAAGAGGGAGATCGCGAGCGGCTATTCGTGGTACCTTGACCAACCTGTCCACAAGTTTCTTCTGTAATTGTGAACTGGCATCCAGCTCATCCAAAGATCTCCTCGTGACCATTATTTTGGTGTGTCCGTTTCCCCTTTAAGCATGCCTTACTTTTAAACATACTGGTCAACACATGCTATTATCGTGAAAGCTTGACTGGACTAGCTGAATTTAAACGCTGCATCCTTTCTGGGACATAATAAATCAAACCTAAGGAAACTTCAAGTAGTCATTTCAAGTCTGATAGTAAGATCACGATGGGGTTAAAGAGATCTTCGTTGACTTTGCTGTATAGCTGTATCCTGGGTTTCTTTCCCGCAACATCCTATCAGATAACCAGTGTTCAGTGTAACGGGACTACATTCATTGCAAGGGATACACTAATAACGGCAAATTAGTTTGGACGGAGTAAAGTGAGTAGTTGTGCTAGGCAAGCTTTATCAAGTTCAATAACTCGGCGATCAACTTAGCTCAGATTCGTCTGAAACCAAAAGCGAGCAAAATACATTAGAGCATTAATACACAAAACTGATTAAAAGAGGTTATCATTTTTTAAGATGAACTATTCGGTGTGGCTTTTGGGTGAAAAAAGCTTGGTCTATACGTGATGCCCGGATGAAAAAGTCACGAGTCACTGGTGCAAATGGTTTGAACGAGGTCGTTTCGATGAAAAACGAACCTGATTACCATGTGAAATTTGGGTCGAGAGCGATTCCGTATGACCAGGAAACCAAAGGTCTAGGGCAGCCAGTGTCACATCGGATCTACTACCAATATCAATAGTAATATCTGCCCTATGAGAAAATAGCAGAGAAAATTCCACTACACATAGCTTACTTTGCGAAAATGCTGTACTTCATATCAAGCATGGTTTGTTTGCTGTAGGTGATGAAAAACTGCGATCCATTTGAGTCGGGCCCATTGTTCGCCATTGACACTATTCCGCGTGCATTATGCTGTCGAGGAGAGCAGAGGTCAGTTTGTGAATCGGAAAAAACCCACCCGTAAGGATTCATGAAACTCATCCTTAAACTTTTTCTTCCAAATGCTTTGTCCATTCTTTCCGGTACCTGAATGATGACAGAGTTCGATTCACTTTGGGCGGGAATTTGTACACTCACCAGTCGGGTCACCAGTCTGTACTATAAAACCCTTGATATTACGATGGAAAATACAGCCTTTGTAATAATCTGAGGCACAAAGCGCCAAGAAGTTCTGTGGAACGCGGGCAAATTGGAAAAGAAGACCAGTTTATACAGCAAAAGATAGGAAATGTACAAAACGGCAGTGTAAAAAAACTACTAAGCCTACCAGTATGAAATATCTAGATGAGGGGTGGAAAAAAAGAGTGGGGGTGTCATATTCAGCATCTGATAGAATGGCAAGCAGATATGCTAGTATCAGAATCAGAGTCGGGTTTACGAAGGGCCAACAATCCCCAATCGGATCTTGTTGAATCAGGTAAAGGGCATCGGTTGTACTCAAGGGCTTGCGTCCATTGGTGACACAGTTCGACAAGATTGGACCAGTCGGTTTCATCCACACCATGTAGAATATTTTGATTAGGATGGATTGGATTTGGGCATAGAACGTAACCGGAATCACAAACTTTCGGCTCGTTTTCACTCGTCTCAACGTCATCCAGAAAACGAGGGAGTTTGAGACTTGCAGGAACACTCGATGTAGCCAGATCGCGAGGGATAGCACGGCCGGTGCAAAGATCCAAAACGACGTGAGAAGGGTGCAAAGTAGTGATGTAGGCGAAAAATTGTCGGAGCAGTGTGTCCACGGATGGGAGACTGATCAAGTCGGTTAACATCGGATTGGACGAAAGACCGTGAGAAGGATCAGAGGCAATGTGGTGGAGAAGCTTGAGCGGGGGTGCATAGCCATAAGCTTGCAAAAAGTGAACAAACAACATAGTTAATTTGAAATTGGTGAAACCCGGGCTGGGACCCTCGCGCGTCAGTTCTGTTCGTCTTGAAATGAATTTCAGCACGGCAATGCATTTGGCAAAGCCGGGAACACAACAGTTAACTGCTCGCAGTAGCTGAGTCAAGTGAATACCATCATGAAAGTGGATTTTTTTAGACTGTGAGGAAGTGTTTGATACACGAGAAATATCGATTCCCACACCAAGGAGATTGTATTTTTTCAAGTGGAGAATAGGGACTCGACCTCTGTACACTTTGGCACCTGTGAAGCCCAGAGGGTCTAGTCGTACCAAGAGATTTCGCAGCGCGGATAGAAACAGGTGTTTAGCTTGTGGGGGTGCGAGTAGAGCTGGTATGATTGAAACGCCGGTATTCGGAGGACCGTTGTGCTTGAGGCTTGTGCGGTCTATTATATCAACTAGTTCTGGGTTGACATCTGAACCAAGGCGAATTACAAGATCGAGGTCGGAAGTAGCCGAACCCAGGCCATCCACAACAGAACCAAAAACAGATACTTGTGTATCCAGGTGGATCTGTGAAAGTACGTCCTGGATACTGTCACACACGGTGAACCGAGATAGCAGTTCAGGATAGGTAAGACAGTTTGTGTTGAACAATATGGAAGCTTGGTCATCGATGGAATCACAAGATTGTAGGCGAGTTTTAAGTCCCCTTGTGTCGACAAGTGGTTTCTGTACATCTACATTTGGTGGATACAGGTTTGTTGCCAGCAGTGGTGGACGAGAAACCCGCCAGCATGAAGGGTCCGAGCACAGTCGAAACGTGTTAAGCTTCAAACGTCGAACTATAGAGTGTTCTTTTGCAGGGAAATTGTGGATTATCCGCGAAAACTCTGACAGGTTGTTCAGACATTGTTTCAGTTGCGCAGCAGACTCTACTTCCACAAGCAGAGTCCCCTTACGATCTTTGTTTGGCCAGTAAAAAACATTCACCGGACGACCACAATACTTCTCCATCGAATTTAAAATAGGAGATACACTTAGAGGAGCACAAGCCAACAAAATACTTCTTTTGGCAGCATTCACATAGGTAGCAAGTGAAAGATCCATAGAGAAGATTGTCGCAATCTTCTGTGCAGATGTCGCAAACGTGGTAGACCGAAATATCAGCTCACCTCTGAAGCTAATGGGGCCTGCATACAGAAAACTTCCAGCTTGAGATCACCCAAATCGGTATGTAAAGTAACCGCCTGGAAAAGAAAAGGGAAAAATGAGGACGCTTAAAGAGAAAACAATAGATTCATCATAAGGTTCGCAAACTTTGTTATGCTGCCTAGTAGCGGAAAACCGATTGAGTATCTAGTGTTGCATACCACTCCTTTATTGTGTTTATATGAGACAGTAATGACAACTATGACACTGATGATCTGTTGTGAGACAACTAAGCTCAAGAGATTCAAGCAAGAACAATGGTGGTCATTACCAACAGGTAACCTCCCAGAGAGCGCGCGACCATAACGAGCCTGCCTCAGTTAGCACATCCAAGAGAATCGGGCCACTGCGACAGACGAAGTTGCACAATCGGATTGCATGACAAGCAGAACGGTACACTGCTTGCTAGAGAGGCAAGAATTCCGTCACCAGAAAACACTGTTTACATCCTAACTGAGCAGTCCCCGTACAGGTTTATCAGTCATAAGGTCTTATCGTTTTGCGATAGGTTTATGCACCAGAAACAGCTTCTGCTCATACACACTACATTGGCCGTCACAATTACTTGTTTAAGCACGTACTACACAACCCGAAATGCGCAGCAACAGACTCAGATTCGAAAGTGATGTGCAGACGTGTAAGCACCGTTCGTTATGCCGAACAATGAATACGACCTAAATTGGGCAAAACTATAGTGTGCGGGTATAGCGAATGAGGGCTTAATTGTTTCAACAAAAATAGTTCATTATCGATAGTAGGTTGAATGAATAAATGTGTCCGTAAGACGATTATCCAGCTCCCCATTTTCGGAAAATTCGATAGTTACATACATTCAAACACGTTATTGGTGGAAGATCAGGATTCTACGACAGCAGGAACGAGTGAACCCGAAGGAAAGAAACTAGGGAGATGACCCTGAGAAGAAATTTCCCGACCGGCTTTGGTTGGGCATTAATCAGACTGGTCAAAACGCCTGCCAATGAAGAGGTAAACTCGGCCTAAGCTGCAGGAGGCGCCACTGGATAGTTAAACTGTGTTGCTAACAGCAACGATCAGAACATAAATTGCACAATTACGGATAACATCATACCGCACCGGTCGTCACGTGGTGCCACCAGCCGGGTTATGTTACTTGCTGCATATAGCATGGCAGGCAAAAAAAGAAAGCCTACAGAGTACACTCTTTCGGTGCCTAGCTGTCATGCCACCCGAAGGAAGCACGAGGGCTGGGATACTGCCAGGTCGCCCAAGCCTAGACAGGGGAAGTCGAGAGGCAGAAGTGGGGTTCGAACCACGGACCTTCCGGTCAGTAAATTCGCGCTCCAATCACTTTGTCCATCTCGCCCCTGTCGATACACGTTCTACCGAATAAATTGACTGAACAGCAGTACGTCATAAACTGGACTCAGTAACACCCTTAAGCATTATAGCACATCGGTTCAATTCAAAATATTACTACCTGGGATTCAAGTGCCTGGTATTCATTCGAGAGCCTACTCATATCTCTACTGGGAATCTGTTAGCGTACGCAGCACGCTTAGGGTGGGCTAGTTTGGTATGTTTTGGTGTTTCGAAGACGTTTGAAGGGCCTAACGCATGAAGATCTGGTTAGCAAACGGCCAAAGAAGTTGGTAAAGTGGATTGGTGACGTCCCAACAGACCGCCAGATTTTGATACGCCTTGATTGTGCTCTCTCGCGAGTCCGCAAGGTCACCCCGGTTGCAGTTCCACCAACACTTCCTTGTTTATTGACAATATCTTTTGTTTCTCACTGCACCCGATATTCCAGTCTCCACTGGTTCCAGCTCGGTATCTCAAACGCCCAACCGTTCGCTTGTTAGTCGACTCTTTTTGAACAGTCTCAAATGGACCGCCTCAATAAAACTCGGTTTCTTTCCGTCTCGTAAATTGCTCCCCTCCCGATTCATCTTGTGCAAGTCCAAAACCCACCCCACTATACAGTAATGGTGTTAAGCTTGAGAGGTCGCTCCTTCCACATAACCCTTACTTCTGGATGGTGCAAAAGGAAAAAATGCGTCCCACTGACTTCCCTCTGTTGACCAGTAATCTGAAAAATTCCCTTACCGCCATTTCATCTCACTATTTTATCGCTATTATCACAGCAAACGCTCTATTCAGCTCGTCTTTCCCGCTACACTCCCAAAAAGGTTAAGTCAACCGATGCGTTTACAACCGTCTAGCTACGTATCACCGAACAGAACTGTTACTTCCTCGTTGTCCACAAGTACTACTAGTTTTTGAAATTTTCCTTTATTTTCAGTTTTCCAAACCACCTTGAATTTTCAAGACTAGAGTTAACGTTCATCTGTCCAAACCTGTGGAGTTCTCTATCCGTGTGGTTTATTCATACGCTGTTTACTTTTACGCAATGGAGCATGTGTTCCTTGATGTTTCAAGATTTGATTTAATCAAAACTATCTGACTATGGGTCCTCCCTCCATCACCTTATCAGGTTACATGGGGGTCAAAGATACCAATTCTTTCTATCATGAACCGTTTATCTTGAGATCGCGGAGACCGAATTTTTCGAAATGAAAACTTATTTTTGTAACAGACATGTGAGTAATCCCTCAATATCTCACCATCCGACTCGTATATATATATATATATATATATATATA